TAAATACATCAATGGAGATGTTCAAAACAAAATAACAAAAATCAGAGTTAAAACTCATGGCAGCATAGAGCTAAAGACTAAATTAGGAAAGCTGTTTGAGGAAACTGGATCTAAACTAAGACATTGCTTGTAAAATTAAAATGTAGATAGCGCTGGGCTAGTTGTGTGAGAGGCTGGTCTCCTTCGCTTTGTTTCTTCTTTGCATCTTTATAGCAGTAAACACCCTTGGCAGCATGCTTGGAAATCTATGGCAACAACTTGACAATCAACGGCAGCATGAAATCTGAAACAAACTGATTATTCTGTTGATTCTGCCAATTATTCTCCTAGAAGTTCGCAACAAACCAACAACCTTACTGTAGTTGTGGAAATAACCACTCAACCTTATCCAGAGAGATTTACTCCAACAACTTTCAACTAATGAAATATCTGCCAACATGGATGACACGTGGCATCATTATACTATTTTGCAAAAATGGGTGTAAACACATCCTTAGATGGTTCGTCTTCACCTTTGACGTAAACAATTTTCAAATTTCTCAATTGCTTTCTCAAGTTGAGCGTCAATGTTGCCAAAGCAATTCCTGTTCCACTGCTTAAGACACTGTCAAAGAAGCTTCAACTTTCCTTTGCATTCTCAAGTTGAGCATCTATATTGCCAAAGTAAATCATTGTTTGCCACTTCGAAAAGATTGAAATCATCTTATTCAGCTTGTGATCTAATTTCTTCCGTCTTTCAGATAATCTTCTCACCATTGAAATCTCCACCAATACAAAATTTACATTCCTTTTCTCCAATTTTGCAGGCGAGGTCTTTCTATGGCATAACCTTCTCTGAGATGTTGAAGGGCCCACATCAACTATGCAATAACTATGTTTCAGAGCTCTTCACAGTCCCTCCATGCCAACAAAACCATGGCCATCGAATGCTTCAATTTTTTCAAATGTGCTTTGTTTAGTAGACCACTAAACGTACTGAGCCTTCCACATGCTAATTGAAGTCCTCCAAGGCCCACACTACTCTGCATATAAGTACATCAATATATTGTCTCAAACTTCGTTTCCTGTTAACAACAAGAAATCAACTTTTTCTTTTCTAGCCAAATTTCTCAGTTCTATTTTCGAAAACCTACCGAGCCCTCTTACATTAATATAAGAGACAATCTTCATTGTCAAATTTTTTTTTTTTTTTGATGAATCAAAATTTATTAAAGGAGTTAAAGGGGTACTCACCCTTATAAAAGAAATAGGAAGATAAGGGTTACATTTTGTACTTTAAATGCCATCAGCACAAAGATTTGGCAATTGACACCAATCACCAAAACTAAACACTGCAGATTTTGATTTTCCTTTAATCCAACAAAAAGTCTTAGCTTGAATTAGATCATAAATGTGTTTTCTTCCCAATTCAATTTATTGAACACAATATCATTTTTGAAATACCATATTGTCCATGCTGTGGTGAGAATAGATAGAGCCCAACAGTTCCATGATTTTCCTGGCATCCATAAGTGAACAAGGCTCAAGGAACCTGTAGGCATGTTTTGTAGAGTATCCAACTAGGTTGTGTTTCCATATAACTCGATCAGCTTTATCATATGGGATGAACACATTTTTCAGAATATTTTCCAGCACCCCAAGCTAATCCAGTTCCCTGCCAAAGGGAGGCTTGCGGCATTGAAAGGCCCATCCATCTGTATTGGGTTGCTTTAAGTTGGTGACTAATAAATCCTTGCTTTGTGTGAGGCAAAAGGCGAGGGAAATCAGCCATAAGAGGATAGTTCCCTAGCCAAACATCTTTCCAAAATCTAGTTTTAAGCCATCACCTAGCTTTTGAATAAAACCATCAATGAAACAAGCAGAAGCTCTTTCATCATCCCTACCAATAGACAAGATATCTTTCCAAAGAGGAGACAATCTTGAATGGATAGTATTAGTAATAGAATCAATAGGAGCACCTTCATATTATTTACTAACAATGATTTTCTTCTATAACTTCCCCTTTTCATCATCATTGTCAAATTGATTAACTAGAGCTTGGTTTGCGCCCCCAACTTGTCTTTATCTTCAAGTTCCTGAAATTTGGACTCAAGGACCCCATCACAACCTCCAAATTTGAGTTCAATTTGGCAGCCAAATTCTGAAAATCTATTCTCGCTTCAGCCTGATTCATATTTCTCGAAAAAGGATTATTCCTATGCTCAAAACAACTGCAATTGATCCCTCCTGTATACCTGACATGGAGAAGGGTCCCAAGGCACTGCAATTGAACCCTCATGTTTCCTCCTACGCTAGCTTGTGCTTCTTTTTTAACCTTCTTGAGTTGAATTGGTGATTTTCGTAATCGTACATTAAAATGCTAATTTAGCATTTGAGGATACCATTTTTAGAATTTACTCTAAAACTCTTACTAATGTTAGTTCCACGAAAAATCTTGAAAAGGGTATATTCAAGATACCTGATATACTAAGGTTAATAGTGTCCCTCTATTGGAAATATTGTTAGAATTATGGCATTTAAACTAGCAAAAATGATCAATTGAAGCTGTAATGAAAGTCCAGCAAATTGAAGCTGCAACAGACAACAAAAAATAAGCAAGTTAGTCGCATTTTTATGGTAATTTGATTATAGAAAAATAAATCAAAGATTTGTGAAAATGATGATGCTATGAAATAGAAAATTTTAAATGCAAATTAAGGCCTACAAGTGGTTGCACATGAGATAGCCAAATGACAGCAAACATGCAACAGAAGTGTTTGCGTTGTTTTGACTAGTTTTTGTTGTAGAAAGTTTTTTAGATAAAGCAAGAAAATTTGGAAGCTTAAATCAAGGAAGATTGAGTGTAGAATACTTTTTGCATTGGTTTTTATATACCTTTTTCTACCCTATAGGGCAAAGTTTATCGATGAAATATTTGAGTTGGAGTGTTCTACTTCTCTCCATTTTTAGTTTATGTCCTTGCTTTTTTCCTCTCCATTTTTTCTCTTTTTTGAACCATGAAAAAAATCAACATGGTTTCAGAGCCCAGTTGATCTTCGAGAGGCTTGTGAAAGTGATTTGATGGATTTCCATTCTACAACCACAAAAGTTTTAGTCAATTTGAAATGTTTTCCAGCTAGTTTTTTGGTCAAACACAGAAAACTCTTTTGACCAAAAAATGCACCAAACTTAACATGATTCAATTTATATACCTTACAACAAGTTTATGTCTAACTCCCAAATTCTCCTTAATTCTTTCACAACAAGTTTATGTCTAACTCCCAAATTCTCCTTAATTCTTTCACAACAAGTTTATGTCTAACTCCCAAATTCTCCTTAATTCTCTCCCTTAATCTTCACAAGGATTATCTCACACTTTCCCTCTTTCTTTTCTCTCTCAAGAGCTCTTACTCATGTAGCTCTTCTCAATTTCCCATGCTTGCATCCTCTGCCTTGTACCAAGCTGCCAATGTGAACAAGCCAAACATGTGAAAATTGTGCCAATTGACAATAGGTGGAGTAGCCATTCTTATATTTAATTCACAAGCTTCCTTGTTATATATTTGATGTGGGATTTTCCCACTCAATATGCTCCTCACATGCAAGCCTATTACGAATGTTGAGTCCTATCATGTGATTTAATACACCCCTTACTTGTAAGCCCAATATCAACTTTGGGTCTTGTCAGTTAAGCTAACAAAGGACTTTTTAAGATAAAGTCTAGGTTTTGATATCATGTGAAAATTGTACATATAGGTTTCAACACAAGACTTGCATCCAACCTAAAATAAATTGATAATAAATGAAGTAGCTATCCTTGTATTTAATACACGACTTTCTTTATTATATACTCGATGTAAGATTTTCCCATCTAATAGAACAAAACTTAAGGGTGGTGGCAATAGGCTAGAGAAATGCTTGTTGCAATCAAGTCTTTTTTGTCAACATGACAATAAATGCATGAGTAAATTTCAGTAATTAACTATGTGGTAATAGATGCCATGGGTGGTGGAAATAAAAAACTCAAAGAAACCCCCATTTTCAACGTTCTTCACTAGCTTTCAATGGGGCTGGATTGATGCACACAACACTTCAATGTTTGAAAGTGGTTGACAAAGAGATGCAACCAACCTGTCAAGGTAGAAGATATTACGTGTAGTTGTAGTGATGAAGGTTAACCTAACATTCTTCAATCTTGTTGAGGCAAAATGGTGTCTTTATGTTGTTGGTATGGGTGTTGTTTTTATACCACAACATTTAGTCCGAAGGGAAAGGATGGCTTGTGGACGTGCAGCGTAGGACCAAGAGAGTACTTGCATTGCATCAAGTCATTTTCATGACCAAGTAGCCAAATCATAAGGCCAAGGACTCTATAGAAGATGAAAAAGATGATGAAATTGTTGTTAAAAGCACCAAAATCCTTGTTTAATTTACTTAACAAGTGTGACTTAGTTGCAGAATCTCCAAATTTGTTTGGGGTAGAGAAATATCAAGAAGGAAAGTTGTACTGAAGGAGGAGCTGAAATTGTTTGAGAAGAATGATACATGGCTATGAAGAAAATGTCAAAACTAAGCACACGAGGACTACCAAAGGTTGATCCATTGGGTGTAAATCCGTTTTTGTTTTCAATTTTATAGTTTTGATACCAAGGAGAAGTGATGGAAAGACTGTTAGAATTGTGGCATTCAAACCTGCAAAAATGACAAATTGAAGCTGCAATGAAAGTGCAGCAAATTGAGATGGCAACAGAAAGCAAGATAACTATCTATTGATATCAAGTAAGCTGCATTGTTATGATCATCTGATGACAGAAAAATGAGGCAGCAATTCGTGAAGTTGATGATGCTGTGAAATGCAAAAGTAATGCAGATGAAAATCTAAGTGCATGGGTTGCAAGTGGTTGGACAACAGATGGCCAAATGACAATACGCAACAAAAAGTGCCTAAAGTTCTTATACTAGCTTTTTATTTACATTTTTGATAATAAGTTTTTGATGATGTAAGGACAGGTCCGAGGTGCTCAACCTCGGACAAACGACAGTAATTTCTTCATGATCGAAGTGAAGGATAAATCCAAAGATTCCCGCTCAAATAGTTTCATGACAACAACAGTAGGCATGCCTGTATCTGATCCTTTATAATAAGCTGCACAACAGTCACGATGGACATCCTTGCATATGAATTTCTCTCAAATTCTCGATCCCAAAATAACCGTCTGGAGATACACATCAGATCCCGAATATCTTGCCGTCTGGAGATACACATCAGATCCCGAATATCTTGCTTGGCATGCCACGTGGGTTCTTCATTGGAACATATAAATACCCCTCAAGGGCCACGCCAAAAGGTAATTGGAACCAACCCTAAGCTCCTTGCTTCCTCGTTCTAAAGGTAGTCCCGATTATTGTTGACTTAAGCATCGGAGTGTCTACCCCGAGGACCCACCTCGGGGCTTTGTAGGTCAAACCGGAGTACAGATACGGACTGAAGAAGGACTCTTGGTTTGGTGTAGTTACATTTTGGCGCCGTCTGTGGG